TATGCACCATGTATGCACTGCAAACGGAGTAATGTGAACCTGGCGTTATGTGTGTGCGCTGCGAGTGTGCATATGCGCATGGTCTCCAGGATAGCGCGCGAGCGCTGAATGGTTAAACACTGGTAAGAAATTTAAAAGTAATGCAATTAATAAACTTTAGTGACGATGAGACACTGCCTCGATTGTGCAAGTGACAATTCTTGTGTAAACTGTGCAGCGTGCAGCTCGCTTATAGACAGACGCGATGTGGTGATTTGAAGCCATTTGCGTATTTTGAGAGAAAGAGAGAGGGCGCGCGCGGAGATTCACTCGCTTGTTTGTGAAATTACGTCTCACACAAGGTTTTCAAATTACTTTATAAGTTATTTAACAAAGAAATATGAAGGTGAGTACCTCACCTTCAGCATTATAATTATTTTACCCGCACCGGACAGAGACTGAGATGGAGACGGTGCCGCTGCATGTTTATTATAACACAAATGCCTTATATGTTGTGATCGTATATGCATCTGACTTAAGATTCAGTTATGGTAGTGCAGTAGATCAGATGAGCCCTAGAAAAAACCTTCTAAAACCTAGGCTACTGATCGAAATACTATTCTGAATGGAGAAGTTTCCATCCTCCGTAGCTAATTAAGAATATCCCGTATGGACAATTTCAGAGATTGAGACGGATATGTGACTCAGATGAGGATTTTGAGGCGCAATCTACTATTTTGACACAGCGTTTTCAATAAAGATATAGTTCATCAATATTAAAAGAAGCTCATGGTAAAGTCCAGTTGCTCAAGAGGGATGAATTGTTGAACAAAAAACATAAACTAAATGTAGGTCTTAACAACAAGTTACATTTTGTCGCAAAATATTGTAAAGAATATTTTACAAGTTGATGAGACTCCAAGAGAAACTTTCAAAGAATCCCCTGTTTTTACTTTTAAACGTGCTCCAACAATAAAGGACAAATTGGTGAGGAGTTTTCTTCCAGCTTCAAGACGGGAAACATGGCTAAGACGACCTAAAGGGAATTTTAGCTGTGGTAACTGTAATTATTGCATCAATATGGTCCGGGCTAATACCTTTGAGGACAAAAGAAACAAGAAGAAATTTGAGATCACAGATTTTATTAATTTACAGATTGGAATGTCCATGTAAGTGTTTTTATGTGGGACTCACTAAGAGGAAGTTACGTGATAGATTGGCTAAACATAGATATGCAATACAGACTGGTAACATGAACTATCCGATGGTGAAACACTTTATACAGGCCAAGCATGGTAATGATAGTAATTTGAAGGCCATTGGAATCGAACATGTGACATTAAATATCAGAGGTGGAGATAGACTTAGACGGTTAAAGCAACGGGAAACTTATTGGATACATAAATTGAATGCTCTCTCATATCCTGGTCTTAATGAATATATAGATTTTTCTCCATTTTTGTAATTATTAGTTTTGCTTTGAGGTGCTTTTCATTTTTATTTGTTCAATTGTGATATATTTATTCTTATATAGGTTTGAGAAAATATACTTCTGTATACTGCAAAAA